TGCCAGATGCGGATCTCCTCCAATGGTGAAATAAATACCAGGATTACTATATAGTACGTCCAGACAGTGCAGTGGCAAAGTCCCACTTGCACGGATTCAGACATGCAACGTTGATCTTCGTTAGCTTCTTCTTCTTCTTCTTCTTCTTCTTCTTCTTCTTCTTCTTCTTCTTCTTCTTCTCGTTCTTCTTCTTCTTTTTTAAGCCACGAATAGATTGGGGCATTTTCCCCCCCCCCCCCCCCCCCCCCCCAAAAAAAAAAAAAAAAAAGCCAACATATCTTACTCCATGAAGGTGGGGACCACTCACCAGAAACAAAGACAGAAGTGGATCTGCGAAAAAATGCCCCTTTTCTCCTCCGAGTCAGAAATTTGAAATAAATGACAGGCTCCTTTGTTCGTCGGAAATTTGAAATAAAGGACAGGCTTGGGGAGGAATGTCAAATGGAGCCGAAATGAGGGGTAAGTGCTGGAAGTTCCCCCTATCTAGGGCCAGTATCTCTTAATCCGTGCAAGTGGGCCCTCGCTCCAGAAAGGCCGTAACGAGGAGGAAAGGAAATTATACCCCATCTCCGAGGAGGAAATCCCCATTTTGTACTCAGAATTTTGAAATAAAATGACACAGGAATTTCCAAAATTGAGTAAAAGCGGATGCTGGAAAGAAGGAAACACACTTCCAGATAAGGAAAAAAAACTAAAGATCCGTGCCCCAGGGAGCCTATCCGCAGCTGGAATTCTCAGCCTTCTTCGTTGCATGAAAATATATGTTGAGTTGCTGTGACTTTTGTCACTCGTAAATATAGCTTTCTGCTTTGCTAATTGTTTACACAATTAACTCATAAGTCCAGGCTGAGCATACTTCTTGCATCAGACAAGTATCACCGTGGATAAACCAAAGTCAGCATACACCAGACCAGAGGAAAGACTAGATAGACACTGAGAGTAGACAGAGAAGTCGACACAGTAATTCTCCCGAACGCGACCCTCGATGGTTCAAAGATATTAACAAATAACACCACCCATCTCGCCACCAGCTTCGTGCAACGCAAATAGGCAGTTCCCCGACTATCATCGGTTCCCTGTCGGAGTATAATCAATATGAACCAGCCAGCAGCGATGGCGCGACCCTACGCCACGTTTCTGCAGTGTTTTTTTTTTTTTTTTTTTTTTTTTTTTTTTTTTTTTTTTTTAATACAATCCGGGCCCAGTGCCCAAGGCTGATATTACCAATAAGAAGATTGAGCCCGGGGTCCTCACAGTCTACCTGGAGAAACCGAACTGAACAAGCTGAGAACCGGGCTCAGCGTCCCTCATAGGTCTTCATTGTTCTTCTGTTTGTTAATCTTTTTGTTTCTCAGTACTAATGTAATGGGACGGGAGTTGACCACCTTTTTTTTTTTTTTTTTTTTAAACAGACCCACAAACCATAAATGCAGTGTTAAAAATTTGGACCATTTCTCGATTTATGCGTGCCATCCTTACTTGCGCAGGGGCCATGCTAATCTTCCTTCTCTGTATCGTTCCCATTTTAAGTTTTAACGGATGTCCCGAAGGACAGTTGGCCACCTTTTGGGTCCTGATTGCCGCACATTTTTTGGGTAGCGTGTTTTGGATATGAAGGAGACGTCGTACAGTCTGAGTAGAATCTGTGTTAGAAGGAGGGGCGATGGTTTGCTTCGCGGACTTCACGGTGGTGTTCTTTTTTCTTTGATTTTGGGTTCTGCGACTCACGATGTGGGCTTGGCCGGTGATGCCTCGTTCATAATTGCGAGCCGCCTGCACATATGTGAGGGATGCCGGGGCCGTTTCCTGGCTTGTACACCAAGTATGGGCAGAACCAAAGATAAACCAATATAGGCTGAGCATGTATACAGCGGAAGTCTGAGAAATGGACTGACTCACATAGCTGAACTCACCCAGACATCACTCAACACTCAAGCAATCGTGGGATGGTGGGGTCTGAAGCCAATCATAGACGATGCTTCACGCCCCGCACAACCAAATACAGATGAATGGTGGGAGGAGAGACGATTGAGGTGGGAGATATAGGCAACGCCAGATGTCACCGAGCTAGAATCCAGAAGGTCACCGATATGGTAGTCCAAAATGTCACCAAACAAATCAGAATGTGGTGGACCATAAATCAGCAATGTCGGAGGTACAGAATCCTAATGTAACCGGTGTCCGATCTGTGACGCCCCCTGGTATCCAGCCCAACTATCTCCAATGTCCTGAACCCGGTAAGTATCACAGCCTCCTACCACCGAAGTCCAATCACTGATCTCTGTCCAACTCGTATCAAGTCTCCAGTCTGAAGAAGAAGGAGAAGAAGAAGAAGAAGAATCAAGGGCAGATACATCGAACAGGTACAAAACAACACCAGTTCTATGGAGGGCTAGCATTACCCCGAAAAAAAAACGAAGTCACACCAACCATACACCACTGTTAACTCCACGCCATCCTTCGACGCGTTTCGACCTGCGCGTGAACAGGTCTCTTCAGGAAGGTCATACTACCATCATACCAGGGAATGGACTAATCCATCCCCTGTCTTTATAGCCCATCATTATCTCCCCCGCTTACCTCTCTCCTTCACTCTTTTCTCCTCATACTCGATCCCATCTCCCCGGCGATAATCCCTCCCCATCAAACCGATGCGCTGTCCGACCCGCACCCCGTTCCAAAATGACAGAGTAACACAGTAGAGGAGCACCATCGAAACACACACGTAGATGATACCTGCACACATGCACAAAACTTCGGCGCTATCGCACCTCGCGAGTGACCACCAAGAGGGCGAGCGTGTCGCGCTTGCTTCACATATAGCTACGCTACCGCTCACCAGACCCGACGGTCAGTACCGTGCCCAACGGTCTGGTGGCCCAAAAACGATCCTCAGATCTGGATTCACAGCTGCACCCAAAAAAAACCCAGTTTTTTGTCCCCAAAAAATTTTCCCATCCAGTCGGACTATTGAAGGTACCGCGGAGGCCGCGGTGCCTCAAAAAAACCTTCTCAGTCCTACCGCAACGAACAATAAATATATAAAATATATATCAAAGTCCCACCAGGATTTCAGTAACTTCGTCCTATACATCGCATAACAGATCGAACCCATCATCACTACTTGGTGCTCGTCACACGGGAACCAACATAAAAAAGGCGAGCATTTTCCATTCCAGTGGGGGTAAACCTGTGAGATCAAAGATCTCCAGGGACCTCCCACCACCTTGGCAAATCTGGCCAAGGAACCGAAGAAGACTTCTGGGGGTTGTCCCCGGAGGCGAGATTCTTTCACCAAGCAGAGAACAGAAGCCACTGTTACCTGCTCATCTGTCGATGATCTCCACAATCTCCGCATGGAAGCAGTCAGGGTCATCCTTTTTCCTTTCTTCGCTGAGTACGATCTGTAATCCTGCATCGAGTGGAAGTGTAGCCTCCCTTCCTTAATTAGCGACGTCTGATTCTTAGTTCTGGGGAAAACATGCACGTCCGGCACATCAGGAACACAGAACAGTTTGCAGCCCAGAAACTCCCACACGTTGCTCCCATCGTCCTTTCGAACCAACTTCAGGGTCGGCGGATACGCACCCTCAAATTGGTCAAAAATCCGGTGGGCCCTCTGGTACCCCTCGTCCCCCTTCCCGCAGGCCACGAGCAGGGAGACATCATCTACCATCCTCACTCCGACCACGACTCTCCGCTCGTTCCCAAGGCTAGTTAGGAACGAATATTCTGCTCTTGCACACAGCAAGTTCGCAAGAGCAGGGGACGAATGCTTACCCATCGGTATCCCGAATATTTGCTGATAGACACGCCCCTCACACACGGTAAACATGTGCTCCAGTTCGAATCTCAGCACGTTCAGCAAAGTCCTAAAGGAAAGACAAACATATCCTTCTTCCCTCCGCACGTTCCGAGCCATCTTGCAAATCTTCCCTCGGATACTCACCTTCATTGCAGTCAGTCCCCTCTTCTCATGCATGTCAATGAGCCATCGCACGGATGCTATGATCTCATCGTGTGGAAGCTTGGCAAACATATCCTTGATGTCATAGCATCTTGCTAGGACAGGTCCCCCAACCCGCTTCAGCGATACAACAGATCTGCTCATAGCTGATCTCAGCGCATCAGTGGATACCAGGCTAAAGTGGCAGTTCCCAGGTATACAAAGTAGCATGTACCTCAGAGCCCTGCCCAATCTGGCTCCCGCTGTTCGTGATGGTTCCGACCATGATGGCGAGATAGGCCTCCATCTGGAGTAATCCTTATCCTTCGGGATTACATAGGCCCTCCCCAGCTTTCCACATGTCCGCCATGTGGCCACACTCTCCAATCCAGCTTCCCGATAATCTCTCTTCGCCCTCGATAATATATCAGACTCTCCCTCCTCCACAGGACAAAAACCCGTGTTCCAGCAGAACGCCATCCGGAAGGCATGAAAGTACAGCGTCGGACAGATGGCTAAAGATGCCCCTGGGTTCCTGTCCAGAGGGACAATAACAAGACTCTGCAAAAATCCAATGTAATGTTGAACCTCCGGTACACTCATCGCCCCACCGACTGTCATCTCCCGCCTGCTGAAACATCGGTTGACCTCTTCATCCTCCATGCACGCGAAATGTCGTGATACACCCTCTCCAACAGCTGGTACTTTGAAACGGTTGTCCCGCATGTAATGTTCCTAGAATTAAGAATAAACTCATCTAATCCGCCAACCTCGTCAAGTCTTACTCGTACATGTCCTTGAAACCGCGCCAGCTAGAACTCAGAGCAACAACAAGAGTCTCGTCCACCCTCGAGAGCCCGCCTATAGTTGTGGATCACTCCGGCTACCGTCCTGTTCTTGAGTCGAACAACCCTCATCCTCTCTACCACGAGATTTCGGATAGCAGCATCCTGAACTGACAAGGAGACGATCTTCGCCACCAAGTCCCTAGTTGCTCGCATGTCGATCCGCACCGAGTACTCAGTACGGGACTCTAACGATCACTCTCCTCCTGACCTTTGTCCCGAATTTACTCTTCAGGACTCGAGCTAGTTTTTGACGGATCGACACCTTGTAGCTTTCCTTGAGAAGAGACCAGCCGTTTTGTACAGCGCAGCAAGCTTCTGGCTTGCCAGCTTGTACACGTGCCTCATCCTCCATGGATGCGCAAGCAGATCCTTCAAGAATCTCTTGTTTCGTTGAGTACCTGCTGGTGTTGCGACCAGCTGTACGATCCGGAAGTCGCACCCGGATTCGACTTCTCTCCTAGCATCCCTAAGCTTCTTCCTTGTAAGATTAACCACAATGATTGATTCACCAAACCTTTCCCGAATCTTCTTCCACGACCCTATCCACACTGCGCCAGCGACGGACCTAATTGCCACGTCATCCTTCCTATCCGCAATCGCGTCCATAAGGCTGATCAGAGACGAGTACCTCCCTTCATCACACTCAAAGATAATGGCGCCGCCCGAATAATGCGGCCCATCCACCGCCGTCCTCTTCCTACCCCGCTGCTTTTTTCCACTCTTGATCCGTCCTATGGTATTCAAGGATGGCGACAACCTCCGAATCAAAGCCTGTTCGACTTCAAATCCATCTCTAATCTCAGTAATAAGAGGGATGATCACGTAATCGTGCCAACCAAATGACATGAGCCACCTATGCAATTTAGGTGCATTCCCCACCTTCCCTGACATGGCACACTTGATGTGCTGAGCCCACGTCGTGATAATCCTACGCACTGTACAACCAATGTACAGTTTTCGACACGTCAAGCTAGCGACGACATATACTCCAGACAAGTTTACATCCATTTGTTGAGGATCCACGAATCTTATCATCTTTCTGAACCAAGGTACTAGCCCCCGGACTGCGAGCAGGAGGAACAGCCGGGAGAGATAATTCTCCTCCTCCCTTATCAGCATTGGATGCGCCTTACTTGCTTCTCTCTTCTTCCTTCTGGAGATCAGCTCACTGATCCGAGCCACCGCTGCTCGTGACGATAGATCCTCACCATGTTTCATTCCACGCCCAGTTCCGGCGCAGTATGAATCCTATGCTCAAAGAAACCCTCGTAGGCGAGCTTCACCCGACACCTTACTAGCTCCTGGACCGCTTGACCCTTCACCACGTACTCGACTCCCTCACGATCGCATAACTTCCGAATCTCAGCCGCCTTCAGTCCACTCAGCTGCTTCGATTGTGTGAGTGCATACTCCACCAGCCCTTCGCTTGACGCTTCAGCAGGACACACTTTTTTTGGCGTTTCGAAACCATCATCCGCCACTCCTACCTCAGCAACTTTCGCCTTCCCCTTCCTTGTTATCAGACTCTTCCTCGTTACTCGACTTGTCGCCGCCCGACTCCTTGCCGCACCTGTCCGTCCCTTCTTCCGGTTTTCTAACGCTTCGATCAGTTTGTCGGCCTCGATCTTCATCTCCTCACTGTCATCCTCCGACTCCACAATATAGCTCCGAATATCTCGAAGCATCCGTGCTTTTGATCGTGGTGATCGCTTCTTCAACTCCGAAGTAGGCTGAGGCGTTGCTATTACCATCGCCGACTCCTTCCGCTGTGCTAGTATCCGCAGAGTCGTGGATTCGATCTTCGTTTCTCTCGACTCCTCTTCCCGAATTTTTTCTCCCTCCCTCCTATCTTCTTCTTCCTTCCTCCTAGCTAGCTCTACCTCGTGACGCTTTTTCTCTTCTTCTTCTTGCTCCCGACGGACGATCCTACGGAACAGCTCCTTCATCTCAGAGTTATCGTCCTCGGTTCGCGGTTTTAAGGTCTGCCAATAGTTGCGGGCGTAGTGCCCGTTCCTCCCACATATGTGGCACACTACCGTCCCAAACGTATCATTGGGGCGCTACTCGGAAGCGCCACATTCCGAGCCCCGATGCCCGGTGAGCTCATACTCTGATTACCTACGTTCGGATTCCCCATGTTCATATTCCCTACCATCGGATTGACCGTCATACCTTGTCCCTAATCGTTTGAACTCACCATGTTTGGATTCCCCATTCCAGGATTCCCGACCATCCCTTGCATACCCATCCCAATACCCATCCCTCCCATGATGGCCATATCGTTTTTCTTACTAATCTTGCTCGACTAAAACTCTCAGCACCCTTCGAACTACAGTGCGAGCGTGGTCGAACTCCCGACGTGCTTTACTAACAGCCGATACAACCCTTATTTTATAGATCCGAGAGGACGTTCTCACCTTCTTCGCGATCGGACCTAGGATCAGTCGGTACATCATATCAAACAGTCTTTAATCTATCGCTAAGTGTTCTATAATGCTCCTTCTAACTTCTATTACATGCTTATCCGGAATGGTAGTGCGCCATATAGCGCAGTCGATCATCTGTCTTAAGACACGCCGAAGCCTCCGTATCCCACGCAGATCCACACAGATCTTCATGCGCCTTTTTAGTACTTGTGATCTTCCCATCCTCACGCCTCGCCGGCACTCCTCAAACACCCACTGAATCTCCCCAATACCTTCCACTGATTTTGGTTCCTTGCCACTCAAGAGCAGCAGATAACCCCGTGACCACTCTCACGGCCCAACATCCGTTGGTTGTCACGTCTTCCCAGAATCAAGGGCAGATACATCGAACAGGTACAAAACAACACCAGTTCTATGGAGGGCTAGCATTACCCCGAAAAAAAAACGAAGTCACACCAACCATACACCACTGTTAACTCCACGCCATCCTTCGACGCGTTTCGACCTGCCCGTGAACAGGTCTCTTCAGGAAGGTCATACTACCATCATACCAGGGAATGGACTATCCATCCCCTGTCTTTATAGCCCATCATTATCTCCCCTGCTTACCTCTCTCCTTCACTCTTTTCTCCTCATACTCGATCCCATCTCCCCGGCGATAATCCCTCCCCATCAAACCGACGCGCTGTCCGACCCACACCCAGTTCCAAAATGACAGAGTAACACAGTAGAGGAGCACCATCGAAACACACACGCAGATGATACCTGCACACATGCACAAAACTTCGGCGCTATCGCACCTCGCGAGTGACCACCAAGAGGGCGAGCGTGTCGCGCTTGCTTCACATATAGCTACGCTACCGCTCACCAGACCCGACGGTC